CTTACTCTAAGGCTTACACTCAGTGAAGAGAATGACAGCTACAACAGCTGTTTCTCCATCCCTTTCTCTCGGTATACTTACTTTTGTCCTGAGTATGTAGAGTTGCCTTATTTTCAGTTGCCTTTTTATCAGTTACATGCACACATGATGCAACCTCCCTACATATAAGTTCACATTATTGTTGATCACCAATCTACCACATTACGGTAACCCCAACAATGGAACAATATTAACAATCAATATTCAAACACTGTGGTCATTGAAGCCCTATCATTTAATTTTTTTTTACTATTCTTTTTTTTTTTTTTCAGATGGAGTCTTGCTCTGTTGCCAGGCTGGAGTGCAATGGCACAATCTCAGCTCACTACAACCTCCGCTTCCCGGGTCCAAGCAATTCTTCCGCCTCAGCCTTCCAAGTAGCTGGGACCACAGGCACATGCCACCACGCCCAGCTAATTTTTATATTTTTAGTAGAGACGAGGTTTCACCATGTTGGCCAGGATGGTCTCAATCTCTTGACCTCGTGATCTGCCCACCTCAGCCTCCCAAAGTGCTGGGATTACAGGCGTGAGCCACCGTGCCCGGCCTCTTTTACTATTCTTAAGGAAGCGAGGAACTGTAAGTAGAACATAGAACATGGGAGATGTACAATTATGATGAAAAGTACTACTGGAAATCATGGTTCTCAGGACTATGGTGCTGGGATTCTATTGACATCTGGGTAGGAATTGTGTTAGTCCACTCTCATAAGATTTCCATAGCATTAGTCTAAAGCTGTTTTACATTTGCTGAAATTTACATGATTAATTAAAACTGTTGGACGGTTTTAATACTAATATGCATCCTTATAACACCCAGATCCTGAAGTCTTTATTTATAAGTTTGGAGATTTGGAAAAGGGAAAGTGAGGATGAGAAAGAACCTCCCTTCTTTCTCATCCTCTTTCTGGAAAGAAAATTGATGTATGTATCTGAGATGCTTGATTGAAAATATTCTATGTATTCCTGCCCTATAAAGTTTGTATTAACCTGTTTTATAGACTAGGTGCTCCCAGAAATTTTCTTCAAGGGTGATTCAGATAGAAAGTGGGGCTAAGCTCAAAACCAAACACAAGTATCTCTGACTACAAGTCTGCCACTGAAAGTAAAGGAAGGCAGCTCTACTTTGCTCCTGCATAGGAATGTTGAAAAAAAATAACTAGAGTGATATTGCAACATGTTTTGCAAAGCCAAATATGCTAAGGAAGAGCTTATAGTATTAACCTTCTCCACAGGAGTTGTACAGATGATGAACTTTAAGACTTACTAAACCAGTTTTCCTGTTGTGTAATTCATTCTCCTTTCACTCTCTAAATGTGCAATGTCATCTCCTATGTATTGTAACCTGCACAATTGATAGTTAGTTCTAGTGCTACTACTGCTTGGCTAAATGATGTTTAAAATTAAACTTAATAAATCTTTTAATGAAGAGATCATTCTATATAACTAAACAAAATTTCAAAAGAGCATGTAACTGACAAACAAACTACCTCAACCAGATGATCAAGGTCAACATCAAATTAGTAAGTCATGTTGACAGTACCCTTGAAATAATGTGATGAAAATGGCACTTTGCCTCAGTGGTCCTACTCCCCAAACACATAAACCCAGTATAATTATGAGAAAAACAGAAGAGTATCAAGAGAGGGACATTCTGCAAAATCCAAGTATTCCTCAAAACCATCAAAGTAATCAAAACCAAGAAAGTCTGAGAACTGCTATAGTCAAGGGAAGCCTACAGGGACGTGATGACTAAATGTGATGTATCCTAGACAGGAAGCTGGAACAGAAAAAGATAAAAATGTTAGGTAAAAATTAAGAAAATTTGAATAAAATATTAACTTTAATAATAATGTATATCATAATACTGGTTCCTTAATTGTGGAAGACTAGTTATGTAGTATATGGGAGTCTCTGTAATATTTTCATAATTTCCTTAAAAATCTAAAACTGCTCTAAGTAAGAAAGTTTAAGAATAAAACAAAAGAGCACGTAGATAGGATTTTGCTTCAAAAAATTTCTAAAATATGTATTCTCCTTTCTGTGTTCTCATGTTTCTCCAAAGATCTGAAGGAGAGACCAAGACAGCATTTTTAAAAATTCACATGAAATGTGTTTATCAGGGAAAAGTGTCAGAAGTTAGCCTTGTCCCATCTTGCCCAAATAAATAAAGATTAAGAAACTCAGGGCTGTTTTTCTTTAACTTTGTTATTGATTAACTATGGTATTTTAAAAGTCGTATTACATTTCTAAAATAGATAAAACTCTACCTTGTGGGAGGCTTATAAAGTTTAATGAAATGAATCAGATAAATAATATATAAAAAGAATTGCATTAGGACTAACATTCTAATAACAGAGCTTTTTAAAATAATCAATTTGAATTCATTTGAAATGCTGACCAGATTTGACTTTCCTATTGATACAGAGGCCTATAATGATTGCATTCCTTTGTTGGATTTTTCTTCACACAAATGAGCACGTACTTAAACTTTGCTTAAATATCTGGACATGCTGACACAAGTTGGGGGCAGAATTGCATAGACGGCCCACACCCTGGCTCTTGGCTAGTTCATAAAATCCAGGACACACTGTGGCCCAACTGTGCAAGTCACTGTTTCATGAATCAGCCCCCTCCATGCAAGGGGAAATATTCTTGGTAACCTGGTCATACCATTCTAAGGTGAGAAAAGTGATTACCTGGGAAGATGACATAAAGGCCACCACATGTACAGACTTGCTTTGCTCAGGACATGGGGAATTTCAGTTTGCTTGGAATTCGCCCCAGAATTCAGAATTAAGCTAACTATAGCGTATTTTTCTAATATTCTAAAAATGCATGCTTTTCATAAGAACCTAGGTGGTGGCTTTCCTATTTGTGCATGCTTTGCCTCTGCTTACCATCCCTGAGCCCTTGGCATTAACGCAGCATTGCTTGATCTCTTCAGGTGATGTGAAGTAGAGATTAATTAGTCAGAGGTGTATGTGTAGAAACTACCCAATATATAATCAGAAGGAGGCACAAGACCGTGAGGGTAACTGCAGGTTCTGAAAGGAGAGCTGATGGAGTCTGTGGCAGAAACTAGGCAGGCAGGGTGCAGTATGGTCAGCACATCTGTGATGTTATTTTCCTTTTGCTTTCTGCTTTTGGTGCTTAATTCAAGAGACCCTCATCCAATGAGAGCAACAGGAGACAGGCAATCTATTCTATGGAATCTGCTGGGTCCAGTCTCTGGCTCAAGGTAATTTATAACAGCTTTTGTTCTTCCTTCATGTAGGCCCCAGGAACTCATCGTGATGAAGATTTATGACTCGCAGTAACTACTGATAGGAATTTTATGAAACATAATATCACCAGGCTCTGTGGCTTAATTTCTAATACTATGTGACTTGTAAGTTGTAAGACAAATTCCATAGGCTGCATTCCTTTTCTCTTCAAGACTGCCCCTACTGCATCTATCTCTAGAGATTTCTTTCTCTCCTCATCTCCAAGACTTGCTTTGAGTGGATAATATACTCCCTAATTTCTTGCTAACTATATTGACATGCACACCATTTCTGCTTTAGAAATTTAGCCTATAAGAATGCTGACACCAGAAAAGGACATAAGAAGCATGAGGGGAATTGTAAAAGCCTAATAAATTATATAAAATAAAACTCTTTAGTCATAGTCCCTAGCCTGAAAAGGGATGACACCCTTTGGCTTTTTCATAAGAGTGAAGTTCAGAATAAACAATAAGATGAAATATCAACGCCCTATTTGTGGGTAATATTTATGTTTCCAGAACTTTCAGGTACGTGTTACCAAATTCAGTTGACATTTTCACAATACAGAAGTCAGCTCCCACAAATATATTTTTGGGATAATTATATCCCTATTCAGAATTATCTGAGTACTAAGGAGTTCTTCAGTACCAATATACTGAAAAAGGAGAATCTGACTTAACATTTTATTTCTAATATTTGACTCATGAGAATAACCAGAATTTCACTGAATATAAATGAGAGTCTGAAGCACATTTACAAGACCCTGTGGCTTGGTTTCTAATTTCATTATCACTTTACTTAGCAATGTTGCTTAGGCTGAACACTAGTCCAAAATTTCTTTCCTCACTCAGTCCTCAAATCCAGAAGCTCATCTAACTGAATTTATGCCTATGTTCCATAAAGTCACCAGAAAAGTTTATTAATTTACAATGCAAAGTATTTACACAGAGAGAGTTAATTATTTTTTCTCTAGATATCTACTTCAGAAATGAGCTAAGGACAGCAGTGGGTTAAATGACAATGGAGCCAGGAAATAAAGGAGAAATAATACTTTTAGGTTGAAACAGCTTGCTAAAATTTCCTCCTGTAATTATGGCACTGCAGAGTGACACCTAACCAGTAACCTAAATATTCCTGTCACAAGTCTGGGCACTATTTCGGGAAATACCAAAAAGTTCTTACTTTATCATTCTCATTTTTCTGGATGCCATATGCGCTGATGCCTTTCAGATTCTACATTTTCACCTCCCATTGCAACCCTCTCACAATATTTGGACAGCATCTGCATTGTGTTTCACATTCCATTTATCTTACTTCCTATGAAAAGGAAGCATCCATGTATGTAATGTACTAATTGCTATCAGTCCCGATTAGGTAAAGTTTGCCTCTTTTCCCACATTTTTGTTTATTTTCTAGCATTCATCTTATTTTGGTCTGCTCTCTATATTCAATTATTGTAACAGTATATGGAAATAACATACCACATTTCAAATTTGTATTTATAACATCAGTTGAATGGGTGCTTTAGGCATAAACAACAGTAAAATGGTATTAAAAATCATAAAGGAACATTATATAGGATAAATATTCCTTTGTTTCTCATCCTATATGTGTGAATGAAAGAATTAACATAGGACAATATAATAATGGTAAGGGTCTTGGTACAACAGTAAATGATGCAGTGCAATTGAACAAGCCTGCCTTGTGGTCAACCATTACTGACGTGGGGTTTTAATTCTGAGGACATTCATTTTGTTCTAATTACAGCACTCACAAAGCTTTGACAGCATAGCAGGCAAGCACCCAGAAAGGAAAAAAACCATATTGTAATTAATATTAATAAAAATATTATAATTAATGCAGACTATAAAATATTCTTAAATTTTAAAAGGACCCTGTGATCAACAAGTAGTGCTAAGTGAATATCCACATGAAAAAGAATGGAGTTTCATTCATATCTCACACCATAGACAAAAATTAATGCAGAATGGATCACAGTCTTAGATGTAAGAATTATGTTTTCTTAGAAGAAAGCCAAGGAGTAAATCTTCATGACCTTGGATTAGCCAGTGGTTTCTAGATGTGACCCAAAAGTACAAGTGCTAAAAAAAAAATTTAGACAAATTGAACTTCATAAATATTAAAAACATTGTGCTTCAGTGGATCATCAAGACAGCAAAAAGGCAACCTACAGAATAGGAGAAATTATTTGCAAATCATACATCTGGTAAAGGACTTCTATGCAGAATATTAAAGAACTCTTATAACTCAACAATAAAAGGATAACCCAATTTAAAAATGAAGCTAGGGGTGGTCATTCATACCTGTAATCCCAGCACTTTGGGAGGCCAACATGGGAGGATCGCTTGAGGCCACAAGCTTAAGACCATTCTGGGCAATATAGCAAGACCTAGTCTCTATAAAAAAAATTTAAAAATCAGCATATGATGGCAGATCCTTGTAGACCCAGCTATTCAGGTGAGGCAGGAGGATGCCTTGCACCCAGATCAAGGCTGCAGGGAACTGTGATCGTGCCACTGCACTCCAGCCTGGGTGACTGAGTGAGCTCTGTCTCTTGAAAGAGCAAAGGCTTTCAATAGACATCTTTTCAAACAAACAAGATACACAAATGTCCAATAAGCACATAAAACAATGTGCAATATCATTAGATATTAGGAAAATGCAAATCAAAACCACAATAAAATAACACTTCACACCCACTAGGATAGCTATGGTAAAAAGATGAGCAATGGCAAGTACTGCTAAGCTTGTGGAAAAACTGGAACTCTCATACATTTCTGATGGGGATGTACAATGGAGCAGCATTTTGATAACAGTTTGGCAGTTCCTCAAAAAGTTAAACAGAATTACTATAAAAGCCAGCACTTCCACTCCTACTAGACCCTATCATACTTACAACTTAGGAGAAATAAAAATATATGTTCATACAAATTCATAATAGCTCAAAAATATACACTATCCAAAATGTGCATCAACTGTTAAGGTATGACCATGCAAGTGTATATTATTCATTCAAAAAAATGAAGTATTGATACATACTACAGTATGAACCTTTAACACATGATGCTACGAAAATAAGTCAGACACAAAAAGCCACGTTATATGACTCCCTCTATATGAAATGTCCAAAATAGGCAAACCCATAGAGATAGAAAATAGATTAGCTGTTTCCTGGGTTGGGGGAGACAAGAGTCTGGAGTGACTCCTAATAGGTATCGAATGTCTTTTAGGGGTGATGGAAATGTTCTGGGATTAATGATGATAGTTGCAGAGCTTTGAAGATAGCAAAAAATACTGAGTTGTACTCTTTAAAATGGTGAATTTTATAGCATATGAGGTAAATATAAGAACTACAGTTATGATTCAGAAAGGCTGAGGACTTTATTAAGATTGGAGAGAGGTGGTGTAGTGCATTGATTAGGCCAACAGTTCTCAAAATGTGGTCCGTGAGTCAGCAGCATCAAAATCACCTGAAAATTTGGTAGAGATGCACAGTCTCAGATTATGCCCCATCTACTGAGTCAAAACCCCTGGGGTTGGGGCTCAGGGATTTGTGTTTTAACAAGCCCTGCAGGTGACTGACGAACATGTAGGTTTAAGAGCTACTGGGTTAGTTACAGCTTTAAAAGCCTAATTGCTTTTCTACTCACCAGATCTGTAGCCTTTAGCAAGTTTCTTAATAGTTCTGTGTCTCAAATTATTCATCTGGAAAAATGATTCCTCACAGGGTTTTCTGTAAGGATTAAATGTTTTAGTGTAGGTAACGTGCTTAGGAGAGGGCTTGCCACTTAATGCATACTCCAAGTGTTAGCCATTATTATGCAACAGTACTGAGCTAATATGAGAATCAAAGGCAGACCTTCAGGCTCAATAGAATGTCAACCACATAAATGTAAGTATATTTTTTCTAGAATACACATTTTTTAAAAAAAGTTTAACAAAGAGAAATTCATTTTAATAGTACACTTGATTTATTCAGTGCATCAAAAGTATAATTTCAACATGCAATAAATGTAAAACATTTTACACCAAGTCATCCAAATGAAGTGTATTTTATACTTAGAATACTTCTCTATTTGGAATGGCCACATTTTACTAGCTTAATAGCCATACATGGCTATTATATCAGACAACACAGTTCTAATTCAAATATGGCCTGCCTGTCTGCCTGCCTGCCTTCCTTCCTTCCTTCCTTCCTTCCTTCCTTCCTTCTTTCCTTCTTTCCCTCCCTCCCTTCCTTCCTTCCTCCCTTCCTTCCTTCCTTCCCTCCTTCTTTCTTTCCTTCCCTCCTTCCTTCCTTTTTTATTATACTTTAAGTTCTGGGACATGTGCAGAACATGCAGGTTTGTTACATAGGTATACATGTGCCATGGTGGTTTACTGCACCCATAAACCCGTCATCTACATTTGGTACTTGTCCTAATGCAATTCCTCCCCTAACCCCCCCACCTTCCTACAGATTCTGGTGTGTGATGTTCCCTTCCCTGTGCCCAAATATTCTCATTGTTCAACTCCCAATTATGAGTGAGAACATGCAGTGTTTGGTTTTCTGTTCCTGTGTTAGTTTGCTGAGAATGATGGTTTCCAGCTTCATCCATGTCCCTGCAAAGGACATGAACTCATTCATTTTTATGGCTGCATAGTATTTCACGGTGTATATGTGCCATGTTTTCTTTATCCAGCACATCATCACTGGTCATTAGAGAAATACAAACCAAAACCATATTGAGATACCTTCTCATGCCAGTTAGAATACCAGTTATTAAAAAGTCAGGAAACAACAGATGATGGATAGGAAGTGGAGAAATAGGAACACTTTTATACTGTTGGTGGAGTGTAAATTAGTTCAACCGTTGTGGAAGACACTGTGGTGATTCCTCAAGGATCTAGAACTAGAAATGCTGTTTGATCCAGCAATCCCATTACTGCGTATATACACAGAGGATTTTGACCCACCAATCCCATTACTGGGTATATACCCAAAGGATTATACATCATTCTAATATAAAGACACATGTACACGTATGTTTATTGTGGCACTATTCTCAATAGCAAAGACTTGGAACCAACCCATGTACATGTATGTTTATTGCAGCACTATTCACAATAGCAAAGTCTTGGAACCAACCCAAATCCTCTCTTCTCTTTCTAAAGTTCCTAAACATTCAGAAATGTAGTCTCTGCCTGAGGATTTCCAAAGAGTAGATGACCAGATGGGCCAGGTCATGAAGCATAATTTCCTAGCCACATCCCATCCTAACAGGTGATGCTGGGTTCCAGATGAGTCTCCCATTGACTCACCTCCTCAGCTACATATTGTTATAATAGAACTGGTAAGCTGCCTGAAGAGAATCTTAATAGAGGAATGTATTAGATCTCAGGCTCTTATGTGTTCTTCGCTGTTGTATCCATAGGGTCTAGAAAATGTGCCTGGCATATAGCAGGTACTGAACACACTTTTTTCAAATCATAAATAAACATTAACAGTGTTTTTCTAACTTAGCCTTTCATTTTCTAATATTTTCAAATATCCAAAAACATAAAAAAAAATTTCTTTAATATTGTCATTCCTGGCCAGGCACAGTGGCTCATGCCTGTAATCCCAGCACTTTGAGAGGCTGATGCAGGTGGATCACCTGAGGTCAAGAGTTCAATACCAGCCCAGACAAAAAGGGAAAAACCCGTCTCTACTAAAAATACAAAAAAAAAAAAAAAAATAGCTGGGTGTGGTGGTGCATGCCTGTAGTACCAGCTACTCGGGGAGGCTGAGGCAGCAGAATCACTTGAACCCAGGAGACAGAGGTTGCAGTGAGCCAAGACAGCACCACTGCACTGCATGCAGTGGGTGACAGAGGGAGACTCCATCTCAAAAAAAAAACTGTCGTTCCTTCTCATAAGCAGATCCATCTTTGTCTTCTAACATTAAGCACCTAGTTACCCTTAAATATTTATCAAGCCCTTAGTAATGATCAGGTTTCATAGAATATAAACCCACAATACAATTGCTGATATTTAGGGGTTTATTTTCTGTGACAGAGCATATATTTCATATATGTACAAACATTATACAAAGATCATGAGTATAATTTTTAAAAAATGGTTATTGCTGGTCTAAGAGAAAAATGAAAGCAGTAACTCTATAATCCAGAGTTATACGATTTATTATTTTCCCTGCATTCTCAGTAGCAGTAGTTACAGGACATATTTTCATGTTAAAGGCCCATGCTGCTGGAAGATGCTGACATTCTTAAAACTTATCACCTGAACAATCCAAAAGAGCACAATGAAACACCATTGATGTATGGGTGAATAGTTTCTCAAAGAGGCTGGCACCTCAAGTGCGTTAGTTTCTTCACTGAGATCCTAAGATTCTCACAGCAAGATGAGAGCAATTTACTCAGAGTAAAAGACAAGGTTTTAGTAAAGGCCTACAGGCCTCTCTGACTTCAACCCACTGGAGGGAAGTGAGTGTGGGGAAGAATACTCCTTTCTATTCCTCAAACACACCAGGTTTGCTCCATCATTCCTGCCATTCTCTGTAAGTTCTTTCTGCCTGGGATGTTCCTTCCCCAGTACCAACGTGGCTAACTACTCTCACTGCCCTTGTCTTGCTCAAATGTCTCTCCTTCTCCAGGAGTTCTACCCTGATTGCATTATTAAACACAGCCATCTGCCCCTATTTTGCCACACCCCAACTCATGCCTGCCATATTCCTTAGCCTGCTTTCTACTCCCCTTAGCACTTCCCATACTGAAGATATGGCATACTGTGTTCTTTACTCTTCCTCACACTACAACATAAACTCCATAAGGGCAGATCTCTTCACTATTTGGTTCACTGAGGTACTTTACCCTATAATAGTAGCTGGCAGACAGTAGGCACTCCATAATAACTCCTTGAAGAATGAATAGAGGAATTAGTTCACTCATAGACCAGGCTCTTTAATACATCACTTTTCAATTTTAGTCTGCTCTAATATTAATATCAGCTGAGAGGTTTTGCAGTCTGAGAAGTTGAACTCTCCCAACCTGTTGGTTGGGCTTACTCAGTGAAGGATCTCGTCTCTGGAATTTATCCGTCTGGGCAGGCTGCCAGTAACTGAATTTGTCATCTTTGGGATATGATGCAAGATTTACGGTTTTTTGTCATTCTGAGGGTGTGTTTCAATTTTGGCTGACTTTACTGTTTTGTCTGGGACTTTATTCTTGTGTTGAGTTTCATATTTGTCTGAGTTGATCAAGCAATTTAGCAACTATTCTTCACAGAGCTATGGAATACTAGAAATTAGAGCTGAAAAACACCTCATGGTTGATCCAAACCATCCCCCTGCCATTAAGTCTTCTTGCTCACAATACATTGTCCATGGCTTTGTTCAGTTTTAAATGTCCTTAGAGATTCTTTTGGGCCCTCACTCAACTAACCTAATACTCCTGACAATTAACAAGAATTCCCAGTGTTTTGTCTAAACTTTCCCTTTCTTATTTTCGTTTTAGTTCTCCTATTTACAGTCCAAGGTCAACCCTTTTTCTTCTGGAATTTTTTACCTTTCAGAGAGGTGTGGGCTTACATTTCTGCTCTATTAGTTCTTTAACCAAATTATGTGTTCCTACCTTAATCTTTTTTCATTCTCTTTGTTTAATTTTGGTTTTGGTTATTGAATTCCTTCCAACTCGTCACCTTGGTTTGCAGTATGTATAGTTTCACTGTACACTCACTGAACAACTATCACAATGGTTTTCCTTCAGAAACCTTAAGACAAAGCACTGCCATCTGCAGTATATAATTGTAAATATGTTGAATTTGATGCCATAATCAACCTAGGGTATTTTTTATTTTATACATCATAATATGAAATAAGTTCAGTGCAATGCTGTTTAGTTAACTTGATTTTAAATTCTGATGTTAATTGTGTAATCTCAGACATCTCACTTAAGCCCTTTGCACTTTTGTTTTCGTATCTGCAAAAGGAGAGAACAATATCAGCTTCAGCCTCCTTTGCTGTAATCTTATGAAAATAAATATGTTATTCTAGGGCTAAAAGAGATCTTTCAGAGAGAAAAACACCTCACTTCCCAGCTTTCAGACTGAATCACACAGGATAAATTATTCTCAATATATGAAGTTCCAATGATACTCTTTTCTGCTTACAGTAATTTATGCTAAATCAATCCATCTCCATTTGTAGTAAAGGGCAAATTCTTAAAATTCAAAAATGCCATAAGCTGATTTTTGTAAAATACTAAATCACGGGTTGGATGAAGTGGTAGTGTAAAATTGCTCTAAGAGTTTCTAAGTGTTCATGCGCACTTTCTGTAGTTGTATTTTACAGCCACTGGTCCAGGGACCCCACTTTGAGTAGCTCTGTGCTAGACAATTATATTCCTCACCTTCAGATTCAGATACTTTTTAAGATAACTGTTTCTCTTCTAATAATTAACATTAGACTTGATTTTACTTTTTAGTTTTTGTACTTCTATTCACAATCGTCTTTAAAAGAAATAGAATAGCCAATTAGTCATTCCTCTCAAAACATTTTATTACATATTTCTCATTTATTTATCATCACCTTTTTTCAAAGTGGGGCAATCCTTAATTTATATCATAAAATCAAATTCTGAATGAAAAATACTTTTAAGAAAGAAGAAGAAGAAGAAAAACAATTCCATGGAGCTTACACCAGATCCCTGAGTTATAGAATGATCTCTTGGTCACAGCAATGCCAGCAGTTCCGCT